CATTATATGATAGACTTGCTTTGTTTACCAAATAAGTGGATTTAACTGGATCTGCATTGTAAACATTAAATACAAGTTAAAAGAATTATTATTTTTTATTTCATATACTAAGTTAAGCTATAATCAGGGTTCATACACATTTTTCTTCTAAAATTCCATGACTTTTCCATGATTTTTTTTCAAGACTTTCAAGTAAATTTTCATGACCAAAAAAAACGTTTCATGCAATGTCTACATATACGTAGTAAAAGAAAACAATGCATGTTTATATTTTTTTTTACAGTTTATTGTAAAACATGCAACAATCTATTTAGTTTAAATATTTATTTATATCTATGTAAAACTGATTAAGATAATGCTTACATCGCACTAATAATATGAGAGTATGTGATTGGCCAAGGACAGAAAAGAAGTAAATAACCTATATTCAAGTATACAGATATCTGTTTTCCAAGACTTCTCCAAAACTTTGTGGGTTTTTCTAAAAATTTCCAGACCTGAAAAATGTCATGTTAAAATTCCAGGTTTTCCATGACCGTATGAACCCTGTATGATACTCCTAAAATTGTTCCGCATCAATCCATTTATACAATTATACAAAATTCTCTGCAGAAATAGCTAAAAATGTCCGAAGATTCTGTCTGGCCTGAATCATAGCTCAACATTAACTAATGCATTCATAAAATCCAAAGTTGGGATTGTACACACTAGTTAATGCACTGTGAGTTAACATGTTTAAGTAACAGTTAACAAGTTTAATTTCATTAATTAACAAAGATGAATAAATACGAAAGCGAATATATTGCGTAAGTGAATACATGAACTAATGTAACCTTACCGTAAAGCGTTACCTTTAAAACAAACTTAGATTCAGCCATTTTTAATGCTTAAATGTGCTTCAGAGGAGGGATGGTTTGAATGCAGCAGGTGCTCAAGGACACAGTGGTGATGTGGAGATCACACTAACCCATCACATGGTCACTCCTGAAAATGAGTGATGTCCGCAGCGTAAAACTGTGGTCATTTACTGTTGTTCTCAGGTGAAATCCAGACATCTTGATGAGAATTTGCACTCTTTAAGAGTTTTGTAGGAGGGTGAAAGATACACATGCTAATTAAGCCGTTCATATTTGCTGCTCTGATCAGAAGAATATTGGATTTGAAAGAGATTTCCAGTTTATAAATCACTATATTGAGATCTGATTGACAATTTTTGAACTTAACATGTCGTCACGTTCACAAAGACTACATTAACAAAACATAACGAGGATAAAAATGTGCATCTTTACCTACATATCCATTTTCATAATACAATTTTTAGAAATTCACAGTAGTGAAACTTTGGTTATACTTTAGTTTGAGGAACAATTCTCACTATTTACTAGTAGCTTATTTGCATATTGCTTGTTTGTTGGTATTTAAAAGCTAATGTTAAATGGATAGTTTGACTAAAAATGAAAATCTAGTAATTCAATGAACATTTAATTGTCCAAACCTGTTGGAGTACACAAAGTAAGTTTTATTAGGTATAAAAACAGCCACCGATTTACATAGTATTTTTAGCTCCTCCTATTGATGGCTGCTTTTTCCAACATTCTTCAGAATATCTTGTTTTGTGTTCAATAGAATACATAAATTCATGTTTAGAAACACATTAGTCTGATGAGAAAATGTTCCTTTTAGGGTGAACTATCCCTTCAATTAAAATGAAATTAATCCTTTAAAACTAGTTCACAAATTGTAAAAAATAAAAGTAACAAGAGTGGCTGTCTTAATTTTTTTATTTGAATCAAACGATCTGTTCAAGTTATTACATTATATTACAATAAACAACCAGTTGAATCTCTTTTAGCTGAAAAGAAAATATGATTCATAGATGATTATATGGAAGTTCACCCAATACTAAAATCCTGTCATCATTTACTCATTCTTATCACAAATTGAGCTTCTTTATTTCTGTTGAACACAAAAGAAGATATTTTGAAAAATGCTGAAAACTTGTAGCCACTGTTTTCCGTAGTATTTGTTTTTGCTTTTATGGGTATTGGTTAAAGGTAGGGCTGGGCGATTAATCGAAAAGTAATCAAAAACGACATTCAGAATCTACAAATCGATCTAATTTTTCCAAGACAATTTTTTTCAATTACTTTTTCTATGTGTCACATGACCCCGCTCTGTTAAGGCTGATTTCTGCTTCTGCTGCCCCTTTGCAGCCAAATCTGATCTCTGGTCAAGTAGGACAATGGACTCATTTTTGAGCCTTACTTTGCACGATGATGATTGGAAGCTGTGCCAGAGGTGTCTTTAGATGCCATATAAAACTTGTCAGTGAACTATGAGGGTTAAAAAAATAATAAACAAATAAAAAAAATCATTTATAAATCGTTATCGAGTTAAAATTATCAATTAATTGACATTTAGATTTTAGGCCAAAACGCCCAGCTCTAGTTAAAGGTTCGAACATTTTTCAAAATAACTTCTTTCTTTTCTTCAAAAGAAAAAAAACTCAAAGTTTGAAACCACTTGAGGGTGAGTACATAACTAAAGAGTCTATTTTTCATTTGTGTGTGACCTACCCCTAAGTTATTTGAAGTATTGTTATTTCAAGTGATTTAACTTTTACAAGTCACATGCATACACTCAAAACATATATTTGCTGTGTTTTAAACTACTTATTTTAAATGAGCTGAAACAACACAATTCTTAAGGGTTTTTGTAACAACTTAATTGTTTTATGTTCAATCCACTTTAATTTGTTAAAACTAAAAAGGTAACTTAATTCCTTTAGTTGTCCCAATACAAATAGATTGTGTGAAGCCCAGCATTTTTTACTGTGTACGTACTCATGAAAATGTCATATTCTTTAATAATGCACCTAATCTTAATGGCTACGTAGATAGTGTTCAGTAATATTATCAAATAGGTTTATAATAGTTGATAATAGTAATAATGAGAACTGGTTCCCAAACTAAAGTTTGACAAAAACTACTGCACAATTTCTGATTAATGAAAAAAAAAAAAAGAGCAAAACGCAGTCTTAGTTTCACATTAGCTAATTTAACACTTGCATATAACTGCAAATAATTAGTAGCTATGTTTCCATGCCAAGATGTGAATTAAATTTACGCACAAAAATTTAATATAGCAAAAAAGACGTGCGAATAAAGCAGCGTTTCCATCCAACGGGCCAAAGAGAACAGAATTGTGGCGCCAAATATCAAAAGTAAAAACTTAATTTACTGCGGTAGGAGAAGCTGTGTGAATCTTTTCCTAATTCAATAAATGACTTGCGCCTCTGAATACAATGCCGACACGCAATGGTGTTTGGAAGAATAAGACGTAGAGCACAGATGCTCGTGACAGTTCTGGAGGTCAATAATTTAATAACATTAATACTGAAATGGTTAAGGCATTTTAAAATGACCAAAACAACATTTCAGATGTTTCACAATGTGCCCAGCCTGCTGGTTTGTCCATTAACACACATTTTTATCATCACATGATCTCTTATAAAAAAATCACATGACTATTTCAATGTGCATACTGAAATTTGTCTGGTAAAAGTGTTTCCATCATAGTTGGATATGCGATATGGGCAAAACAAATCTACTATTTTCTTGAACAATGTTGCAATATCGATTTTAATCACGATTGTGACACATTTTAAACATATTTCCAAGAGAAAAAATTTTGGTTTTTAATCAAAGACCGGCTTGCACGCATATTGGGAGTGATGTGCCCGTGTATTCCGTGCGCACCCAGATGAAAACATCTTTACTATTCAGATTGCTGCAAGCGCAAAACAAGTTACATAACAAGAACTTAACCATCAGCTTCATACTTTGTACTGAATAGAAAATACACATTTCACTAGACTAATTACCTCAGACAAACACAGCGCACCCAAACACTGCAGTGCTTTTTAATTTTCTCCATAAATAAAACTTGTATCAGAGCTGCAGAAATGTTGTTAGTTTGTCATCTCCTGAGAAAACGGTTAATAGTCGCTGAGCAATGACAAATGAGCGCGAGCGCAAAGCATGCTGAATACATTCCACGTGCTTTTAGATGCGATATGCGACTAACAGGTCTTATAAATTACCAGATTCTACAATGCATCAGCCTTCCTGTATCCAAAGTAATCAACTCCACAGATGTTGACTTTTTTTGGCACCAAGTCCTCCTGTGCTGAACTCATCATCCCTGTTTATGCAGGCTATTTGTCATTAAGCTCAGTCTACTGTTCTCGCGCTCGATTTAGGCGCTGGGTTATGATCGGTTCTAATAGCATACTGCGGAAAAATGCTGTACGGTGATTTAGAATGTCCAAACTGTGATTTTCAAAGGATTTCAATTAATCACAATAGTTTATGCATATTGAATGAAAAGTTAATCCTACTTAGTTATGTGCATGTTTTTTATGCGCATTTTCAAAACTGATGCGCATCTTGGTTTTCCATCAACCATTTTTTATCCAAAATGTGCAAAAAGTAGGTGGATGGAAGCATAGCTAGTGACATTTTAACCAAAAAAGGGGTATGTTTAGTGTCCTTAGCAAGAATATTTTAACAAAAATAAGAGCAAATCTGCGGAGGGAACTTTTTTGGAAGAAAAATATCAAATCATAAACATTTGTACCAGAATGACTGCATTTCACACATGAAATGTGTCTAGGAACAGTAAACGACCACAGTTCAGCCAGCTCTGGAAGCACTGAAAAGATAATGCCCAGGAGCCCTTGAGAATGTATATGGCTCATTCAAAACTCCCCTTTCAATGGGATTTCTCTTTCACTCCCACACACACACACACACACACACACACACACACACACACACACACACACACACACACACACACACACACACACACACACACAGACACCCACACCCACACACACACACACACACACACACACACACACACACTATTTTAGTTCTTTAAAAATGTACAAAACCCTATTAAAGCAAAAATGTTGACTGCCCATAGTCCAAATTAAAGATAAAAGTTTAATAAAAACAAATAAAGAATGAAGCAAAGGGAAGTACGATGAAGCGTTTATGCTGAGGTACTGCAAAACTACGTGTGAAAGTCTATATATTACTTCTGAAATGTTTCACAGTGTTTTGTAAAAGTGCTTTGCGATATAATTAAGGGGGTTATAAATAACATAGTGAAGTTCTGCTGTGTTTCTCTGAGCTTGACCTGTTTGCACATTTACCGCCGATACTTTCAGGTGCAATAATCTCCCATGAATAAGAAAATGGCTCAAAGTCGCTGCTCCAGTTTTCGTAGCGATCAAGGTGGCAGGATCTGAACCAGGGCTTCACGAGCACCAGGCCCCAGCTTGTCTGGGAATTTGACTGAGAACTCAAGCACCATGTCGCCTCTCTTTTCTGGACATTTGGACAAGGGCAGTCCTTCTCCCACAATCCTCTTCTTCATACCGGGTTTGATGACATCACGCGATGACACTGTGACAGTTCTACCGTCCAAGGTGGGAGCGTTGATGGTGCATCCGCAAAGAGCCTGGAGAGAACGCACAAGAACGGTACAAGAAAAGATAAAGAATTTATATTTTTTAAACACCTCATGTGTTTACATTAACCTGAGATGTTCACTGAAGTGCATTAGTAAGTAAAACATGATCTTTACCCTTGCATCTCTGAGTAATTCGTTTAGCAACTAATCTCAAAGTCTGGGTCATTTACAGCATGAATTTGTGGATGCAAAACGGCTGCATCCATCTGTGAACTGGTTTTATCTGACTTATCAACAAAAAGTGTCAATTTTAATTTTGCTACTTTTCTCTAAATTTGACAAGACATCCGTAGCAAAGTTTGACATTAGTATGGGCTCAGCACAACCATAGCAAAATTTGACAGGAGCCATTTCTGCTAATTTTTTATTTTAATTAGCAACATTTTAGCTAATGTTGGCATTAGCATAATTTCAGCCCCTCAAAACATTATCTTAACCTTCTAGGGCTTGAGAGTCCACATACGTGAACGGCACATTTTAGCTCTTAAGTGGCTATTTAAAATACTTTGAATGTTTTGCAGCATTTGAAAGTCCCAAACACAATTTTTAACTGTTAAAAATGGGAAAAAATATGTTATTTGTACTCTCTGACAGTCAAAGCAAGTTAAAAAAATATATAATTAATGAAATATATATATATATATATCTGTTATACAGTTGAAACCAGAAGACACTGTATGAAAAGACACATAACCATTTAAAAAAAAGATGTTAATGTGACTAAACTTTTTCTCTTTTACGTATGTTAGGATTATCAGTTTTTTCTGTTATGCTTAATAGCATAATAATAAGAGAGATTTCCCCCTAGAAAAGCTATTTTTATAACTTTTTTTAACAATATATATTTATTTACGCAATGATGAATGTACTGAAATAAACAGGTAATAATGGATATTTTTCTGATCTAATAAATGTTTCAGATTTAAAAAGTTGTCAAGGCCTATTCATTTAGACACAACAAATAAATAAAACCCTGGGCAGAAATTAAAAACTTTTACTGGCTGTTGTCATTAATGGCCCGTTTCCACTAAGTGGTACGGTGTGGTACGCTTTTATGGCTGTTTCCACTGTCAAAAGGTGCCAAAAAGCCAAGAAGAAGAGCAGAATCTACACTGTGTCATATTTTTGTTTACAAGGCCGTCTAATGCGCGAGTGGTTTTACTTTCTAAAGAGAGCTCGAGTGCACATCTATATTGAAATAACAAAATTCTTGAGCTGATGACAATAACATGTGCATGATTATTGAAGCGCTTCTGACAAGACTGATGCACAAAAACACTAAGGAGAAAATGATTCTTTCAGCAACCTAAAACATGAACAAACTGCCATGTTTGACTATTATCATCACCTTTTGGACTATTATAAACTTGGAATGACAGAATTACTTTCTAACAAGAGGTTAGATGTGCTGGTAATGATTACAGATACAGATGAGAGGTTTGCTCTGATTGTGGGCTATATGTTGCGTGATGTTTTTGAACCCAAATAGGGACTAAATGCATGCTGTGTGTAGTTTTTTTTTTTTTAACTGGTAACATATCAAAGACTGTAAGGGGCTGTATGTGTTCATATATGTTGCATTTATTTATGTATTTTATATAATTGCAGATGTTGCAGTAGGCTATTTCGCCTATAACCTATTGATCTGCAGTTCATGTTCATAGAAAGGTTATTGATGAACATTTATACACAAGTATTTATGTGTATGAAGCATCTTTTTTTTTGTGAGAAGTGCTTTTCATGATATATGAACGACCCGTCCAGCTTTAAGTTTTTCCTCGAGTGAGAATGACATCGACTGCAACTTTCTGACATACAGAAATTACCATTGGTAACCTTTTGGTAGTGGAAACGCAAGTGTGATAGAGGTGACCCCTACCGACCCATACTGTATTTTACCGCTGAGTGGAAATAGGCCATTACCTCTCGTCTCTACTCTCATCAATAGCACTTATTTTCAGCTCTAGATTTACCACCTAGCTGACAGCGGAACAAAACCTACTGGCTATTCGGGTACAAAGTTTTCCAGTTACAGCTCAGAGTTTTCATCTTGGTGCATTCTTAAAAGTTTTTATTTATTGTCCCTCTCTGCGTTACGATACTATCATTGCTATAACAATACTTTTATGATATATCATGCAGTCCAAGTTGACTCTTTCAAAGTTCCAAATAAATACCAAAATTCATCCACAAAACAGACTACATATTTCAGTGGTTCAGAGTATTGTGATGCTACGAGAATACTTCTGTGCAGATATAAAACCAAAATAACGACTCTCCTCAGTGTCAGTACATTGCGCATGTTCATAACTTTCCCTTTAAGATTTACTTCAGGAGCAGATTTCCCAGGCACAAACTCTGCTTTTAGAGAATGGGTTGTTAAATCTCTCCACTGTACTCAATGAATACATTTGAATAGCTTAACAAAAGTTCACTGGTGTATATTACTGAAGCATCAGTAACTTTATCTGAGCAGCAGACACTAAACACCCACCTCTCTGAGGGATATCCTTGCAGGGTAGATGATGTCAGAGCCGTCTCTCCGAAAAACCGAGTGAATCTTGTCCTTCACCACAAACACTATATCGGCAGGGATGTTGGTGGGCGTCTCGTCTCCCTCTTTGGGGAAGGTGATCTTGGTGCCCTCCTTCCACCCTCGTTTGATGTCTACGGTGAGGATCTTGTCTTCGTTGCGCATGCTGCAGCCGTCCGGGTTCAGCCTCTTACGGGAGATCTTCATCTTTTTTGTGCAACCGGCGAACACTTCCTCAAGGCTCACCTTGAGCTCGTGCACCACCGGAGGGTCTTTTTTCTTCTCTCGGCTGCCATGAGGACCGCCAACCCGAGATTTGAAAGATCTGGGAAAACCACCCATCCCTCCCATTCCGAAGGCCCCAAATGGGTCATCAATGTCCATGCCGTCATTCGGGCCTCCAGCTGATGCAAAAAAGTGATCAAATGGGCTACGGCCACCGAAGAACTCTGCAAACATGGCATGAGGATCGCCATGAAAAGTGTAGCTAGGGCCATTGGTGCCGCCTCCGGCATGTCCTTTGAGCCCTGAGGAGAAATAAAAAGATGTTTGTGAAACAACAAGTCAATATTCAGTGAATTATAAGAAACAGCATATAAAAAAGCAGAACCAGCTCACAGGAATGACCCAGTCACTCGGTACAGATTCAATTCTTATTCTGGAGATCAGTGGAGTTTTCGTTAAGTCCCTCGCAGATTCCTCACTACATGCTCCTGTGTTTGTAGCATTCAGAGAAAACTCAAGTGGTCACCAGAGGTCACGCTGAAGCTTAACTGAACTGGGGCCAGCACAATGAAATGAATCTGCACCAATTGTGGATCTTAGGTAATCTGAAGGCAGCTCGACTTTAATATAACTTTGTTGGCATGTTAATACGGAGCAGCTAAGATGAGTTGAACTAACTTCATGGAACCTAAAACCGAGAATTGGTGCAATTGAGCTGAAACTTAACTAGCTAGCTTATCTGGCTTCATTGTACCAGCCCCTGAACATATACATGTCACATTTAAAGCCTGATATACTTCAACAGAGTATATACTAGAATCAGAGAGTGAAATTCAATACCTTTGAAAGCCTTTTTAAAGACTTTCCTTAAATTTTAAGACCTTATAACCTCTTTTCATCCGGAAACACTGGCGAGATTTTAACTAACAGTATGTTTGCTAAATATTAATGTAAGAAGTTAATCCAAAACTAAAACATTATTCATATACTGAATAACAATCTATTCAATCTAGCTAATTCAGCAGGTTGGCGCCTATAGAACTGCAGAAATATTGGTTTTGCCTTGGTTACTGCAGTAAACAAAGCAGCATGATGTCAAATCTAGTAGGATTTCATTAACTACACTGTTTACTAATATTAACATAGTCAATTTAGGCAAACTTCAGCATGCAACCATACATTGCATCATCAAAAACATGTAAAACTTAATACCTTGCAAATTATCATTTAAGGCTTTTTAATATTTTTTTTAACGGCCTTCAATTTCGCTACATTGATTTATCAACTTTTAATACTTTTTAAAGCCCTGCAGACACTCTGTTCAAGCTAAATCAGTTATAACAGCAGTTTGAACAATATTTTGCCAAAACAATGTTTGTTTTGAGTCAAGACAGCTCACCAGAGAGTTTGTTCCTCGAATCTAATTATAAATTAAATTAAAATATCTGCATGAATTGATCAAAGACTACGACATGTGCTCGAGTCTGTCCAATCTATCGAACCTCAAAATCACGATCATCAATGTACCGATTCGTTGGTGGAAAGACAGCAGCATAAGGACATGATTATAAGGCCTGCACTATATATCGTTTCAGCATCGATATGCTTGCATCTATAATATTACCATTGCAAGACATGCAATGTTGAGTTGGGATTATAGTTGACCAGAATCCACAGATCAAAACACATGAGATTTGTGGAGACATTGCAGAATTTGACTATCATAGTGTGTTTTTTGGCCTGTGACTGTGTGAGCATTTTAAGAGAGTTGACAGTGCATTTTAATAGCACATAAAGAAGTTTAATGAAGAATAATTTAATGAATTATTTATATGATGAAGATTATGCAATGTTATTTTACATTTTATTATTCACTTTTTGTACCATGAAGCAATGTTTGTTTCACTTTAGTATTTGCTTCATTGTGTTTATTTATGACTGTAGTTTGTTTATTATAATAAATAAAGTAAAAAAATATTTATATTTCACTCCCCTACAAAATCATCCCAGTCAATAAAAATTAAAGACTTTCCAAAGAGAACTTTTTAAATCGTATGATAAAATTGTATTTTTAATCGCAAAGTATATCTCATAAAACAAAATCCTAATGTTTAATAATACATTATTAGTCCCATAGTGACAGTATTCAAGTTTCTAAATCCCATGTCATACATTTTAAATAGCTATTTAAATTAATTTAAATAGAATTTTGATAATTGAGAAGTATCTGCATCTTCTACGCTGCATCAAATCAACAGCCTATTAGCGATAATGTCAACAATGTGCATGTAGGACTTCTGTTGTGTAAATTATAGAATTATTTCTTTATAATTAAAAAAACTAAATCTCAGAAATCTGAGAATATTGGCTATTATCATGCAATCTCAGAGCTGCTATTAATGCTAAAATACTGAAATAGCAAGAAATATTTTTTTTTTATCACCTTTGCTTGAACTGAAATGGATCTAATCCTGTTTATAAGAAACAAACTGCGCACAAAAAGGTTTGAGCTTGCGGACATGTTGCTATACTGAAAAGAAAAGGCTTTTCTTAGATTTTTTGTCTGGTTTCTAGTTTAAATATCTAAAAATTCTTATATGAAGAAGCATTTTCTAAGCAAGCAAAACATTGTCTTGTTTTTAGAAATAATATGCCAATATTAAGTGAGTTTTGCCTTAAAACAAAATAATTGGCATAAGACTGTTTCCTTTAGGCAAAACATTATTTAGATTACCCCATTGGCAGATTATTTTGTTTGTTTTAAATAAAAACTCACTTAATTTAGGCATATTATTTCTTAAAACAAGACAATATGTTTTGCTTGTCTAGAAAATTATTCTTGATTTAAAAAGGTTTAGATATTTGGACTAGAAACAAGACAAAAAAAAAACAAGTATGAAATTTGTTTTTTGCAGTGTTATTAATCAAATTCAGCTAAATGGGTAATCCACATTTGAAGAATAAACCCTGATAATCCTCTATGAAAAACAATTCCAAAGCTGTAAAACTAAAGTAATATTCCTCTATAATGTTTATATTGCAAGTATATATTGCTCAGTAGCTCCACTGTTTTAATATGGCAGTCTATCATTTCTACATTCGGTCTGCCGAGGTCAGATGCAAGTCAAAAGCTGCTTTAAAAGTTGAAACTTAAGATGTAGTTGCAAAGGAAAGTTGTTCAATAGCAATGAAAACCTCTGCAACAGCTCAATAGAAATCATGAAAGGGGTTTTTGGACTGAAAAGAGTATTTAAACTACAGCTCTTAAACCTTGCTGATCTTGAATCTGCTTGTATTATTAATTTTAAAAGTTCTTTTTATTTTTGTATGAGGAATAAAAAAAATTCAATACATATATCGAGGCCTTGAGATTGAGAGTATCAAAGAAAAAGAGAAAAAAATCATCAAAATATGTAAATGAATAATTCAAAAAAGCCCTACGCTATCTGAAATCCAAGTATGTACTAAATACTGTACAGCTGGTGATAAAGAATTAACAACAGTTTTAGATGTTGCTCCATGACAGTTTTTCTCAAAGTCAATCCAACTAAGTAAAAGTACTAAAAGGAGAACCAATTGAAAGACACAAATCATTTTAAGGGCTTTCTATCCATCATTGTCAATACATCAAAATCTTCCCTAGGGCTGCACAATATATTGTATTAGCATCTATAATACAATGTGAGCATATATCACATAGTCACATCGCAAGATATGCAACATTGAGTCTGAATTATAGTTGACCAGGAGTCACAGAATTGTATTTAATTAATTAATTAATTAATTTATTTATTTATACAGAATTTATATAATTTATGCAATAAATTTTTCTCTTACTTAGAATTTTTGTGTTGTTTCTAGTCCAAATATCAACATTTCAAAGCAAGAACTTTACTTACTTACCCTATTGGCAGATAATACAGAGTGTTTTAAAGAAATAAAAAATCTTAATTTTGACCTAATTCTTCTGAAATTGAAAACAAAACAATATTTGTACTTGATCTAAGTATTTTTAGATATTTTGACTAGAAACAAGAAAAAACTAAAACAGCTTTTATTTGTTAAAAACTCATTAATTGTTCATAAATAATTAATTCACCTCTGCCTCTGATGACGATGCCATCGTCCATCGTGATGTTTCACTTTAGACATCGTACGGTGCCAGATTGGTCGATATCGCCCAACCCTATTTTATTGTCACAGTTTGATTCACAGTTTTTTTTTTTTGATATGTGGAGTATTTTATTATCTGACTGAAAGATGTGCATGCAAATCCAACTGGTTAAGCAGTTTGTTTCATCCAGAGTTTACAACATCTACTTCTCAGTTATAACTGCAAACTCACATGCTTCAGGTTTATCAGTTTAAAGTTCATGTACTTACACTACACCGTATAGGCCAAATGCATGTAATATAATATCAAAATACACATATTCAACTCTGAGTCTAAAGTATAAGTAAATTTTGTGTTTGTTTTTATAGCAAGATATATGCAGATTTATTCTTTTATATTTAACAAATAGTGGTTATGGTCTCAGCTACAATTTGTTTAAGGCTAACAGTTGTAAACGTTTTAACAAATGAATAAAAAGCCATTTGGAAATAGCAACATTTCTGTATCAGAATACGATAATCGAAAAAAATTATCTATTACTAAAATTAAGCTGCATCATTCTTTTGTTTAATTGATTGCATTGCCATCAGAATATATATATTTTTAAACTGTAAACAGAACATAATGCTATGTATTTTATGCCGATGTATGATATATCCAAGTGTGAAAATAGGATTTTTTTTTACTATGTAAACCAAATCAAAACTAAAACAATGACTACAGAACATTGATTCTAATGAACCGAAAATTTCATGAACCACCCTTACTATCTATCTGCCTGTCTTTCCACTTATTTATCCATAAATCTATACCTATCTGTTGTTCATCTTACCTTCAAACTGTCTATTATATTACATTTCTATTAGTCTATCCATTCATTCAACCTCTTATATATCTAGAAGTCTGTCAATCCATCTTTTTATTTGTCGATATTTACAATTATCTGCTTACTATCTATCCTTCTACCCATCTATCAGTCAGCCCACATGTAAATTTTACTGTTAAACAGTTCCTGTCCATCTGTATGTCTGCTTATTCTTTTAACTATCTATCCAGGGTTGGGCAAAAATACATTGACATGTATTTTAAAATAAAATGGCAAATACCTTAGATCAAAATAAACTACAAAATACAGCAGTCGCAAAATCTATCAAAATAAAATACAGCATTTTTGTATTTATAACCACTACAAAATACTTTTACAAAGGAGCATGACATCAGTCTTTTTACCATTAATCTGACTCTTCAATACTGATGATGATTACTGAAAACTAGGGTTGCACAGTTTACCGGTTCTATGGTATCACAATACTATGGTGGCAAAATACTGGCCATGCTACTGTAGTTTGTAAATGGTAGTATCGTCATTAATGATTTATCTACAATAGTTAATGGTGCATGTAAAAAAGTCACATAAAATGCTCACATGTTTGTGCAACAAAAACATTTTATTTTAATAGTCTGTGGAGCCTTTTAAGATTGCAAAACTGTGTACAATTTGCACCTTTTATTGTAACCTATTGCACGTTTTCTAATGCTTAAGTTCAAACGGACAACTGAATCAGTTCATTTCTGTTCCTCTTAAGATGATTCAGTAGCTACAACAACCATGACACTCTTGAAAAGAATGACTCACAAAGTGAACTGTTAAATTACTTTGGATTGTTACCTGATAATACTGAGGAGAAATATAGATTTAAAAAAAAATAGCAACAGGAAACATAGAAACAATTTTTGACTAATTAGTATATGCTAACTGTGTTGTAAAAAAAAAAAAAAAAAAAAAAAAGTTTGGTAAAATTTGTATCTTTATTTTAATTAAATTGTTGTTGGTCAGTTATCTACAAAATAAACAAAAAGAATGAATACATTTTAAGTGAAGTGAGGTGCATATAATATTTTTTGGCCTGAAGGGAGATATAAATTAAATTCAAGTAGGCCTATTATAACATAAAATATAGTATTTCTAACAATTGTCTTTATAATTTAAGTTATGAATTGCAGTATCACAAAACTGTATTGTGATACTTCACCTGGTATGGTATTATAAGAATCTAGTATCGCGACAACCCTACTGAAAACTTCAAAAAATGTAGTAAGATTCTAGTATCGTGTCAAAAAACTTCAACTTTTTTGCAAATAAAAATTAAATATATCATGCTCCTGCTATAACTTGTCAGTTTTTTAGAAGATTATGAAATATGCGTTTTATATATTGTGTCATTTTGACGTCTTTAGGCATACATCTTTATTTATACCTGCTGTTCAACTACTGGCATTTAAAACAGCCCATGAAGTATTGTGGGAATTGCCACTGTAGAACTTATTTTTAATTAGTTTGTTTTAAAGGGGCATGAAACCCCCCGTTTCAGCAGGGTGTTTTCACACCCCTAGTTTGGAAAAAGTCAGGAAAGTGGGTGTGTCTAGCTCTGTTTGGGTGGGAGTGTCGGGGGAGGAAAAGGGGAAGAATTTGAATAAAAATGGGAGTTCCCATTTGGGCATGCGATGATTTTCACCGAGGCAAATCAAACACACACACACAGGGGAGAAAGAGTGACTGTGTTTAATGACGATGGAATGTTTGATATCCACGTCGTATAAGAGAAAAAAAACTCTGCATTTCTCTGTAACTCAGATGCACTCTGTAGGTCAGAAAGCCTTGTGTGTAGACTATCTTGTCACAAAATGCGATGAAAATTAAACACGACAGTCGGCAATAGTTTGCTTGCAGTGTTCACGTTTACACTCAGAGAGCAGCATTTACAGCCGATCTTTCAGTCCATAATATTGTAGTGATATTAATGTAAACTAAGTAACTAAGAAGTTATTTTGACTAAGGTCTGTCTTTAAATACTGAAAGAGTATTGCTGGTGATAAGAACTAACTTTGCCATCTGAATGAACAAAGAAAGAGCACTGATCGCACACAAAATCTGTAGAGACAGGTCAATCATCACATACTAGAGCCGCGTCTTTTTTGTTTAAAGAAGACGAGCAGCAAATCCGGATTTCACAATTTCCAGATGCGAAAACCTCTCGAGTCTTCGAAGCTATTATGCATATTAACGAAGCTGCAGTGCATTCACAATAGAGCGCACTGATTGATTTGAACCACGTTTTAATTATGAATTAACGCAGCACACTCAGGGACGTAATACGGTACTCCCTCGAACAAACGCTAAGATCTCATGGCCGTGACGCAGCTTCAAAAATTAGCTTCAAACCGGAAGTACGAATTTGCTCTAAATGACGCAAAAACAACAAAATTCCCTTTTAAGTGAAATATGTGTGTCCTAATAGTGTTTTTAGCAGCGTGGGAAACATATACGACTGTCAACAGCTCAAAAAAATGTGTTTAGGTGTTTTGTGACCCTTTAAGCCAAACTTGTGGCAATAGCAATCCATCCAAAACTACTATTATTTGTACAGTATACTCTTTGTCCATATATTTGTTTAAGCTATTTTTTAATGGAATACTTAATGTCCAAAGCACCAATCAGAGGGTGCATTTATGATATCACCATGTAGTCTTCTTACAAAGTACTTTAGAAATTAAATTAGATAAAATAGATTTATATATATATATATATATATATATATATATATATATTAGCTCTCTTTAAAATATGTAATTTGCTCTTTTTTACACACACAAAAAACATTCAAGTATGTTGTTAATTTTGACAACTTATGAGGTAAATATTTTATTCATAAACAGAGATTTGCAAATTGTATTCCAAAATGCAATATATTTTTATTAGAAATGGAAACTTTGAGAAAGCCTTTAATGCAGGAGTCACCAATCTTGGTCCTGGAGGGCCGGTTTCCCTGTTGGATTTAGCTCCAACCTGCCTAAACACATCTGCCTGGATGTTTCAAGTATACTTACTAAGACCTTGATTAGCTTGTTCAGGTGTGTTTGATTAGAGTTGGAGCTAAAATCTGTAAAACACCGGTCCTCCAGGAACAAGTTTGGTGACCTATGCTTTAATGCAAACAATAAAAACAAAAAGAATGACTTAATAATAGATTTCAGGGTGGAATTTTTTCTAGTACTGGTCGATGATTGCGTCCTAAATTCATTTATTCTTTTTTTTTCCGGCTTAGTCCCTTTATTAATCCGGGGTCGCCACAGCAGAATGAACCGCCAACTTATCCAGCACGTTTTTACGCACAAGATACCTTTCCAGCTGCAACCCATTTCTGGGAAACATCCACACACACTCATACACTACAAACAATTTAGCCTACCTAATTCACCTGTACCGCATGTCTTTTGAACCCAAGCAAATGCAGCGAGAACATGCAAACTCCACACAGAAACCCTTCTTGCTGTGAGGCGTCAGCACTACCTACTGCACCACTGCGTCACCCTTGTATCCTAAAATATTAATATTTTTTTCTTATAGTACTTTGTAATCCTCTATTTTTTTCTCTTTTTCTCCACCTGTAATGTTTTTGTTTTATTATTATTTCTAGTTGTGTTTTTGCAATTCTGTAATATTCCTGGATATAGTTTATATCTGAATTTGTATTCTTTATGTAATGTTTCAAAGCTTACAATTAAAAAAAATGAACATTTACAGTTTTTAAAAATACAAAACTACAAGACACTCAAGTATTTTTGATACAAAATATTAAGCCATCAACCCTATCAAATACAAATGACAAAATACTATTTTGTATTTAAAATACCTATTTGAAATACATGTATCATAAATACTGCCCATCCCTCTACCTGTCTATCTATCTATCTGAAAGTCTATCCATCTGTTATTGATTTATCAAGTAACATAGGGTTAGGATCAAAAGAAATATCTATCTATATATCCATCTCTATCTTATACTTACCTCTCTATCAGTATGTCCATCTGTTATTGATTTAATAAATAACATAAGATTAGAATCAAACGAAATATCTATCTATCTTGGGACAGTGTTAGCTCTCTCACCATCCTCTCCGTATCGGTCATAGATGTCTTTCTTCTTGGCGTCGCTCAGCACATCATAAGCCTCGGCGATCTCTTTGAATTTATCCTCTGCTCCGGCTGATTTGTTTTTGTCGGGATGAAACCGTAACGCTTGTTTTCTGTAAGCTTTCTTGATCTCCTCATCCGAGGCGCCCTTCTCGATGCCCAGGATCCTATAATAATCTTTTCCCATCACAACACTCGATTATAAATCCCCTTTTCATCAACTGTCTCTTTCCATAAGTAGATATCCTCCAAATATTGAAGGACTCGAGCGATTTTAAACGATCCTTCTATCCCTCTGTCCTATTCAACATGAAGCGCGCGGATGGAGTTCATCAAAGTGTCTGTAAGTTATTTATCCAGATGCTTGTTTGTCGCACACGACAACTGACCCGTCCCAGATATATACGATCATTTTTCCGAAGCTGTCTTAACTTTAATCGATGTAAAACTTGAACCTTCCACTGTATTGCAGTTGTCAACGTCGGCGACGGTCCGCAGAAAGTACGAGAAAATTACTTGCTCGACGACGCTCTGCACAGATGCTGCAGCTGTGCCTGCGCGAGCGCCGCCTGTGGTAGGGAGTGAAAACCATAAACGCAAGTAGATGATAGGACTGTAGTATGACAAGCCGTTGTAATGACAAATCCAGCCTAGACGTGATTCAGCTGCAGATATACACTCACCCTGGGGCGATTTTAGGATTTTTATTTTAGGGGAGCGCAGCTCCTTGTAGGGTAATGAAAATAAAAAAATACATAGATGTGACGGGTGGGCGGATGGAGGAAGACCACAATATAATAGTTACTACAATTTACCTGACTAAAATACACGCACCCCCTATAAAAGGCACGCACAAGTTCGCTCCACTAATTAGATTCAGAGACATTGGCACAGTACAAAATTAATTTCTTTATTAACAAGTCTTAAACAAAATCACGATTAAAACCAATATTGCAACACTGACACTGTAGTTTGTACAATCATAAATTGTGCTAAAAAAAAAAAAAAAAAAAAAAAAAAAATTCACCTATAAAATTAGCTCAGGCCCTGTGACCTGTGAGTAATAAGTGTGTGCCTGTGACCGGTCACAAGCATACACGTCAGTTTGAACCAATGCCCTGCAAAAATAAATTAATAATAATAATAATAAACAAACAAACAAATAAAAACGCACACAAGGAAGAAATTACAAAAATGAACAAAAATCATGTGTATTTGAAGAAGAGTTTATAATGAAAACAAGTCAGTTACATCCCACCTTAACAATAGAGGAAACAGAAGTTCAAGCCAAATGAATTACGAAAGAAAAATAAACCAAAAATCAATAAGACTAACCAAAATAAAGTAAGGAGAATACAAAGCCCCCCAAAATCCAAACAAGCTGGATGAATAAATAAAAATAACGAAAATAAACAAATAAATCCAGCCAAAACAAATAAACAAAATTATGAGGATCTTACTTTATAGAAAATTTATACAATCAAACGAACCGAATAGGGGGAAATGGGACTCAAACACAATAATAAATAAACCAACAAAAATAAAATGAATTAAACAATCCTCCCATAAACCAAAATTAACCCAAGCAGAAAATAAATCTGGAAAACAGAACATAAACCAGAAAAACAATTTAGGAAAATAGAAAACCAAAGTAATTTCGGAAAACAGGACAGCACTGAGCGCCCGGCAGGGGCTCAATATTACAGGTTGCCGAAGGGGATCGAGGTTAATCAAACGGCAGATATCACGTAGTTTTCAGAAACAAACAGCCGGCACAGCAAAACAAACACAGCCGCGCACCAGCGTTTGGTTCTCGCAGCTTTTTCAGTCTCTACACTCACTTTAGTGGTGGAAATCACAGCAAAACACTTTAAGCAAAGCAGGGCAATATTCAACCAGATTAGTTTTTCAAGTGCCTTCGGCAGGTGAGGGAATGACGGAAGCGCGTTCACGGTGCCGCAGCCCATCAGGTGACGCATTCTAGATGTCTTCCCCTTTTTATAGCTCGAATGCCATTTGGTGATTAAACGGAAACAAAGACCCATAAATTAATGACGCTATGCAACTAATTATCTCTCCTGCACACACACACACACACACACACACACATATATACATACATATATATATATATATATATATATATATATATATATATATATATATATATATATATATATATATATATATATATAAATATGTATATAAGTAGAAATTCAATACTACACTTAAGATGTCTGTTTAATATGGGTTGTATACTAGTATTTCACTGTATTACAAAGACAGGCATAGCCATTTGAGTTCTAAATAAGCCAAATAGGCTCAACCCACCTGTTTACCGTAGTAAAAACACTTTCTGTATTCAAGTGCATTTTTTATTTTTATGTATTAAGTAAACTGCCACTTTTCTAAATGACACACGTATAAACATGTTTTTAAACTTACAGGCTAATTCACAAATTTCAAGATCTGAATAGCAATAATAAATAAGAAGCATTTATTTAATACAAGACAACAACACGTGATGCTTCTATCTCTGTCAGTGACTCAGTGAATGTACATTCTCTAAGTGGTTCTGTCACTGTGTTTAATCCTTTCTGTGCAAGACTGTATACTAGCTAGCTCACACACACTGCTGTTGTTTTATCTCTGCATGTGAATAGTATGTTTACGTATTTACATACACTCATATTTACCTGATTAAAAAAAGCTTTACGTTTGCTAAACAATATTTTTAACGAGTATGTAACATACCTGTTCATGGTGTCGCGTTTCATTTATTCATTCATTCATTTTCTTTTAGGCTTAGTGCCTCTGGTGTCGTGTTTGGTTTGATGATAAAGTTCTGGAGACTCATAATAACACTGTGCTGCCACCCTCTACTGGACACATTTGGAACAACAGCGGTGTAAAACTGCCCAAGTACACCCATCTGCAGGAGTAAGGGGAAGCTGCAGGCTCGGAGACCCAACTGCACGCTCAGATCTGCGCGCACAGACCTGCACTTCCAGACCAGACATTGCCCCCTGCTGTTGGGTTGAGTGAAGCGGCAGGTACGGAAACCCAACTGCACACTCAGACCAGCACTTTCTAGCAAGTAGCAACATCAGTTATTGATGATTAAAGCGATTCCTGAAAATTACCAAGTTTTATGGCATAAATCAATGTGGTGTAAAATATTACACTAACAAACAATTATTTCAGTGTTTGATTTGATCAAAATTAGTGTCAAAAGAGCATTATTTTATGATATTTACAGCTTGCTCTTATTTTATGTATTATTGTACTATTCTGGGACAATTTTCTAGCAATGTTTTCTGGCAAAATAAAAAAAAACTTTAAAGTAAAAATGTTAAAATAAAATGTAGGCTATAATAAATAGCACAATTATTATTTGTAACTGTTTTAGTGCTGTATAGGTCTACTGTTCATATTACAGTATTATCTATCTGAAAGTGCTACAAAAGACAATAACAGTAACACAACAACAGTTCATCAATTATTTATAAGTTCTGTAATGATTACAGGATGATTTTTTGGAAATCAAAATATTAGTTAATCTGCATAGAATTTACAATATGAGCTCATTGACTTGTAGGACCTCATGAAAAAGTACACAAAAATAAAGTTTGTCATGAGAAAATTATTTAGAGTACTATAATTGTATGTGAAGAAAGTTATTGTATATGAAGATAATATTCATTCCCTCAACTCAATACAAAACAGTGATACATCCTCAATATTAAAAAAAACAACAACAAATGTCTGAAAATATTGAAGTAACTGAACAATATCTATTTACAAATAAAATTAATAAAAATACAACAGAATTAATGCATTAAATCAAAAATCTAGTATGTAAACAATGCATAGAAAAATGGTGAAAAATAATAATTGGAGTAATAATTATTTTTTACGTAGAAAATAACATAACTGCTTTACATTCTTATTGGGGAGATTTTTCATTACTAGAGCAAAAAACTTGAAATATCTGCAGTCTTTGGTACATTGTATTAGTGTTGGCAGAGACCCACTTTTTAAATTGTAATATCAATCTGGGGAAAAAACACACACCACAAGCAAATTATTTTTGATTTCACCTAAGAGAGCTCATATTGTAAATTCTATGCAGATTAACTAATATTTTGATTTCCAAAAAATCATTCTTTAATCATTACAGAACTTATAAATAACTCCTTATTTATTATTATTATTATATTTATTATTATATTTCATATATTAATCTATTCAATCATAGCCTAATAATTTATAGTAGAAAAATAGTTTAAATTACAATTTAGAAGCAGCTGAAATCAGGTTAGTCGATCTTTTAAACAGCAGGTGGCACTGTGAAGGTCTGGAAGTGCAGGTCTAGCTGTCTGAGCGTGCAGTTGGGTGTCCGGGCCTGCAGCTTCATACTATTGGGGTTTTGCGACCTTTTCTACTGTTATATCGCCACCTATTGACCCATCTTTACAATATTTTGCATGCTTGTTAAGAATCACAACTCAGATGTGCATACCTGATTTCATGAAGTTTTAAGTTTTCCTTATGGGTTTACAGGCATGTGGGTTCATGTGGACACGCCCCTTTGGTAAATGAGCCTGTTACAGCTAGCCAAAATGAAAAGTTTAACTTTTTTGATAATTATTGATCTATTCAGTACAGAGATTCTAACAACACTGGTTTCGTTGCGAAAACCAGAGACTAGTTCGCAAAAGTAGGCTTTTCATATATTGATGGTTTTTTAATGAACGGTTTGAGTGACATCAGTGGTTTTAGAGTCAAACTGTTCAGTACAAGCAGACCTATCATGATGCATATTTTGTGTGGCTAGGCAAAACTTTATGTAATAACAATCAATTACAACCTCAAAAAAACTCAAAATTGCACCTTAGTGGCCAATTTCTTTCAAAATTCTTACAGACCTCTAGGACCATGAGTCGAACATGCTCACTGAGTTTTGTTTTGATCACTTATCGTTAACCTATAATGGCCGCTTAATCTTAATTAGCTAATGGCGGCCATGTTTTTGGGATTGCCAATGTCCTTATAGTATGTCATGACAACTTGGTCAAAGACACTACATGCCAAATTTCTGATCAGACTAATGGTTGTAAGGTTAGGGTCATTTTATGGTTTTTAAATCTTGTAGCGCCACCATGTGGCCATAGTCCGCGCGTTTTGCACTGTGACCTTAAATTGACCATGCACAGGTTTGCACTAAGTTTGGTGAGGATATCTTACTCCGTTCAAAAGTTATAGCTACAGTTTAAAGGGCCATGAAACCCCCTCGTTTCAGCAGGGTGTTTTCACACCTCTACTTTGGAAAAAGTCAGAAAAGTGGGCCTGTCCAGCTCTGTTTAGGGGGGAGTGTCGGAGGAACTAAAGTGGGATGGTGTGGGAGTGTCTATTTGGGCACGCGCGAGTTTCAGAGTC